GATTCCTTCTGGAGAATGTTTAATTTCATTTATTGAGTTGTTCATCATTGTTTGTTTGCTCTTTACTTCTTCTAGGTCCTTCTTAAACGTTTCTTGTATTTTCTCCATTCTATTTATTTGATGGAGTTTTTTGTCATTTCTTTTTCTCTGTCATGTCTTCAAAATTCTTCAGTGTTTTTACAATTCAAAAGTATATTTCAGAAGTTATTTATTTTATTTTTTTTTGAATTTTATTTTATTTAATTTTTATACAGCAGGTTCTTATTAGTTATCCATTTTATACATATCAGTGTATATATGTCAATCCCAATCTCCTAATTTTTCACACCATCATCCCCCCACAACTTTCCCCCTTTGGTGTCCATACATTTGTTCTCTACATCTGTGTCTGAATTTCTGCCCTGCAAACCAGTTCATCTGTACCATTTTTCTAGGTTCTACATATATGTGTTAATATACGATATTTGTTTTTCTCTTTCTGACTTATGTCACTCTGTATGACAGTCTCTAGATCAAGTAAATTTCTCCATTTCTTCCAGGTTGTCCATTTTATTGGCATAGAGTTGCTTGTAGTAGTCTCTTAGGATGCTTTGTATTTCTGCGGTGTCTGTTGTAACTTCTCCTTTTTCATTTCTAATTTTATTGATTTGAGTCCTCTCCCTCTTTTGCTTGATGTGTCTGACTAATGGTTTATCAATTTTGTTTATCTTCTCAAGGAACCAGCTTTTAGTTTTACTGATCTTTGCTATTGTTTTCTTTGTTTCTATTTCATTTATTTCTTCTCTGATCTTTATGATTCCTTTCCTTCTACTAACTTTGGGTTTTGTTTTTTCTTCTTTCTCTAGTTCCTTTAGGTGTAAGGTTAGATTGTTTATTTGAGATGTTTGTTGTTTCTTGAGGTAGGATTGTATTGCTATAAACTTCCCCTTTAGAACTGCTTTTGCTGCATCGCATAGGTTTTGGGTCATTGTGTTTTCATTGTCATTTGTCTCTAGGTATTTTTTAATTTCCTCTTTGATTTCTTCAGTGATCTCTTGGTTATTTAGTAACGTATTGTTTAGCCTCCATGTGTTTGTGTTTTTTAAGTTTTTTTCTCTGTAATTGATTTCTAATCTCATAGCGTTGTGTTCAGAAAAGATGCTGGATATGATTTCAGTTTTACTAAATTTACTGAGGCTTGATTTGTGACCCAAGATGTGATCTATCCTGGAGAACGTTCCATGCGCACTTGAGAAGAAAGTGTAATCTGCTGTTTTGGGATGGAATGTCCTATAAATATCAGTTAAATCTATCTGGTCTATTGTGTTATTTAAAGCTGTGTTTCCTTATTTTCTGTTTGGGTGATCTGTCCATTGGTGTAAGTGAGGTGTTAAAGTTCCCCACTACTATTGTGTTACTGTCGATTTACTCTTTTATAGCTGTTAGCAGTTGCCTTATGTATTGAGGTGCTCCTATGTTGGGTGCATATATATTTATAATTGTTATATCTTCTTCTTGGATTGATCCCTTGATCATTATGTAGTGTCCTTCCTTGTCTCATGTAACATTCTTTATTTTAAAGTCTATTTTATCTGATATGAGTATTGCTACTCCAGCTTTCTTTTGATTTCCATTTGCATGGAATATCTTTTTCCATCCCCTCACTTTCAGTCTGTGTCCCTAGGTCTGAAGTGGGTCTCTTGTGGACAGCATATACATGGGTCTTGTTTTTGTATCCATTCAGTGAGCCTGTGTGTTTTGGTTGGAGCATTTAATCCATTCACGTTTAAGGTAATTATCGATATGTATGTTCCTATGACCATTTTCTTAATTGTTTTGGGTTTATTTTTGTAGGTCCTTTTATTCTCTTGTGTTTCCCACTTAGAGAAGTTCCTTTAGCATTTGTTGTAGAGCTGGTTTGGTGGGGCTGAATTCTCAGCTTTTGCTTGTCTGTAAAGCTTTTGATTTCTCCATCAAATCTGAATGAGATCCTTGCCGGGTAGAGTAATCTTGGTTGTAGGTTCTTCCCTTTCATCCCTTTAAATATGTCATGCCACACCCTTCTGGCTTGTAGAGTTTCTGCTGAGAAATCAGCTGTTAACCTTATGGGAGTTCCCTTGTATGTTATTTGTCGTTTTTCCCTTGCTGCTTTCAACAATTTTTCTTTGTCTTTAATTTTTGCCAATTTGATTACTATGTGTCTTGGCATGTTTTTCCTTGGGTTTATCCTGTATGGGACTCTCTGCGCTTCCTGGACTTGGGTGGCTATTTCCTTTCCCATGTTAGGGAAGTTTTCAACTCTAATCTCTTCAAATATTTCCTCTGGTCCTTTCTCTCTCTCTTCTCCTTCTGGGACCCCTATAATGCAAATGTTGTTGTGTTAAATGTTGTCCCAGAGGTCTCTTAGGCTGTCTTCATTTCTTTTCATTCATTTTTCTTTATTCTGTTCCACAGCAGTGAATTCCACCATTCTGTCTTCCAGGTCACTTACCCATTCTTCTGCCTCAGTTATTCTGCTATTGGTTCCTTCTAGTGTAGTTTTTGTTTCAGTTATTGTATTTTTCATCTCTGTTTGTTTGTTCTTTAATTCTTCTAGGTCTTTGTTCAACATTTCTTGCATCTTCTCCATCTTTGCCTCCATTGTTTTTCCGAGGTCCTGGATCATCTTCACTATCATTATTCTGAATTCTTTTTCTGGAAGGTTGCCTATCTCCACTTCATTTAGTTGTCTTCCTGGGGTTTTGTCTTGTTACTTCATCTGGTACATAGCCCTCTGCCTTTTCATCTTGTCTATCTTTCTGTGATTGTGGTCTTTGTTCCACAGGCTGCAAGATTGTAGTTCTTGCTTCTGCTGTCTGCCCTCTAGTGGATGTGGCTATCTAAGAGGCTTGTGCAAGTTTCCTGATGGGAGGGCCTGGTGTTGGGTAGAGCTGGCTGTTGCTGTGGTGGGCAGAGCTCAGTAAATCTTTAATGTGCTTGTCTGCTGATAGGTGGGGCTGAGTTCCCTCCCTGTTGGTTGTTTGGCCTGAGGTGACCCAATACTGGACCCTACCCGGGCTCTTTAGTGGAGCTAATGGTGGACTCTGGGAGGGCTTACGCCAAGGCATACTTCCCAGAACTTCTGCTGCCGGTGTCCTTGTCCTCACAGTGAGACACAGCCACCCCCTGCCTCTGCAGGAGATCCTCCAACACTAGCAGGTGGGTCTGGTTCAGTCTCCAGTGGGGTCACTGCTCCTTCCCCTGGGTCCCGATGCGCACACTACTTTGTGTGTGCCCTGCAAGGGTGGAGTCTCTGTTTCCCCCAGTCCTGTCGAAGTCCTGCAGTCAAATCCCGCTAGCCTTCAAAAGTCTGATTCTCTAGGAATTCCCCCTGCCGTTGCCAGACCCCCAGGTTGGGAAGCCTGACGTGGGGCTCAGAAGCTTCCCTCCAGTGGGTGGACTTCTGTGGTATAAGTGTTCTCCAGTTTGTGAGTCACCCACACAGCAGTTTTGGGTTTTGATTTTATTGTGACTGCACCCCTCCTGCCGTCTCATTGCAACTTCTCCTTTGTCTTTGGATGTGGGGTATCTTTTTTGGCGAGTTCCAGTGTCTTCCTGTCAATGATTGTTCAGCAGTTAGTTGTGATTCTGGCACTCCTGCAAGAGGGCGTGAGAGCATGTCCTTCTACTCTGCCATCTTGGACCAATCTCCCAGAAGTCATTTAAAGTGATAACTAGTTACCTATTTTCTTAACATCTTATTTGGATTCCATAGAAGGGACTTAGAATAGTGGACCTCAAACTGCTGCACGTTAGAATCACATGAGAGTTTTTAAAAATGCAAGTTTTCTTAAAAGAAAAAAGAATTATGTGTCTGCTTCATTGAATAAGTTTTAATGAAGTTTCTTTACCATCTTACGACTTGGATTGTTCCTGTCATAAACGTAGATTTACTGCAGCTGTTTCCTGCAAAATGCGAAAGCATAACTTTAAGCTTCATTTCCTGTACAGATAAAAGCACAGAGAGTTGTTGATGGATCCCTGGGCAGCTCTTTCCCTGCAGAAGCTGATGAAAAATGGTGCCCCACAGTTATGCTGTGAGTGCTTCTTGACATTTTAGGGGGCCAGTTACTTCTCCCTTCCTTGATCTCACCTGGTTCCTGGAGTAATACTGCTCCTGTCTGATGCTGCAGCCCACAAATTTGTTTCTACTGTATTGGCTGTGCTGGTTGTTCCTATCAAAGCTGAGGAGATATTGTTTTGAAGATCAAAAGCACTGTAAAAGCCACACACAGTTGTCAGTCAGTTGTTAGAATGTTAATAAGTTGGCAGTGAAACGCCTGAAGTGAAAAGTGTCCAAACTTTCCAATATCCTCTTGACTGCTCACCAGTGACAGCAGATTAATGCCTTAATGAAATTTAATGATGTAAATTCGATAAAGGCAGGAATTTTTGTCTGTGTTGTTCACTGCTTATATCCTCATCACTTAGAACCAGGCCCACGTGCAATAAATATTTGAATTTGTTAAATGAAAGGTACCCTGTGCCTATCTGTGCTTGCAGGTTTTAGACCACCCACTGTTCTGGGTAATTTCTTGCCCTGTTTCTCAAACCATCGGTTATCTCTCTACCATCTTTTACAACCAAACATTCCCAAAGCAGAATCTTCTCTCACAGCTTAAATGTTTCCATGTCACATTCAATTTTCAATGAATTGCAGCCTTTCTTCTCGTCTTAATACCTTTCTAAAATTGTTTCCCCTAATACCGCTGGTGACGACCTGTTAGCTGTATCCAGTGAGCTCTATTCAATCCCTGTTCTTTAGGATTTCTCAATAACACTGCTCTGCTTCCTCCTGGCCCTTTGAGATGCTTGTCCTTCCTTAGCTTCCCAAACAGGACATTCTCTTAAATCCCTTTCCTACTTTCTTTGACATCCTCAATTTCATCTTCACTAATTTCACTTTCTCAGACAGCCAGATGTGAGCATTCCTTACAAGGTGTCACCCTCCCCGGACACTCTCATTCATTCCCATAACTTACCAATTTTAGGTGAATTCTTCATGCAGTGCCATGTTCTTTCAATCCTATTCTCTCATCTGATTTTCAAGCTTGCATTTCCAGCGATTTGCAATGCATATCATAATGAATCTTCAATCTATGATGTGAAATCATAGAACTGCTCCATTCTGAGCTCATGATCCAGTTCCCATGCTTCTCCTTTCTCAGCTTCCTATCTCTCTCTTTTAGCATCGTCACCATCTAATGCCCTTCCTACTTCCCATCATCCAAACCCAAAGCTGAGAGATGTTTTGATTTCTTCCTCTTTTTCACTCCTTATATCTAATAAATTCCTTCACATTTATTAAATCCTTTCTACCCCCAAATGTCTATAGCCCCCCACCTTTATTTCTAGTCTTTAATTCAGGTCTAGTTCCTTGTTTACTCCTCTTGTCTCACTTGTTTTATAAACTATTAATTGTAATTTCTTTCTTCCCTTCTTAGTTCACCTCCAATGATTCTCTAATGCTTATGGATTAAAGTCCAGATGCCATGAGCATTTAAGACCCTGCATAGTGTGGTTCCAGCCTTTGTCTATTGCCTTAAGTTAATTACACCCTGATTTAACCATGATCCATCTAGGCTCTTCTGATTGGCTGTGAACACAACTAGAATGTTTCTGTTTCATCCTGTATAGGTATTGTTCCTCCTACCTGGAATGTTCTTTTTCTCTTATTATATAATTTCTTCTTCTTCTCTAAGATTCAACTCAAATCCCTTCTATTCCATGAGATTTCCTGGTAATATCCTAGCCTTCATTGAGCTCGTTCCTATAATATTATGGAGCAATTATTTTGTGCTAGGCATTGGAGCCTTTTACTGTTACTTAGTCCTTCCTGGCTATCTTATGTCACTTATCATCTCTTTTAAAATTATTTTTATTGGAATATAATTCACACATCTTTAAAAATTTTTTAAATATATTCACAAAATTATACAACCATCATTGCACCACTATATAATTACAGAATATTTTCATCTTGCCAAAGGAAACCCAACTAATTAACAATCACTTTCTGTTTCTCCTGCCCCCCCGTCTCCTGCCTATCTCTATTTTTTGTTTTTATGGATTTACCTATTACGTGCATTTCATATAAATGGAATCATATAATACATAGTTTCTTATATCTGACTTCTTATACTTAAAATGATATTTTTAAGGCTCACGTACGTTATGACACGTACCGGTACATCATTCCTTTCATGGCTGAATAATGTTTCATTATATGGATACACCACATTTTCTTTATCTGTTCATCAGTTGATAGACGTCTGGGTTGTTTCCACTTTTTGCCCGTTACGAATAACGCTCCTATGGACATTTGTATAGAAGTTTGTGTCTGATCCTGTGTCCTCACTCTTCCTAGGTATATACCTAGCAGTGGACTACTGAGCCTTACCTGATAGTAACTCTATGTTTAGCTTTTCGAGGAACTGCCAAACGACGTTTCAGAGCAGCTACACCATCTTACATTACCACCAGCAATGTATGAGGGTTCTAATTTTTCCAGACCCTCACCAAGCTCGTTACTTTCTTTTTGATTATAGCCATCCCCATGGGTGTGAAGTCATATCTCATTGTGGTTTTGATTTGCATTTCCCTAGTGACTAGTGATGAGCATCTTTTCACATGCTTATGGACCATTTGTATATTTTCTTTGGACAAGTATATATTCAAATCCTTTGCCCAAGTTTAAATGTGTTATTTGTCTTTTTAATGCTGAGCTGTAAGCTTTCTTTATACGTTCTGGATACTAGACCCTTATCAGATATGTAATTTGCAGATATCTTCTCCCCTTCTGTAGGTTGTTTTCACTTTCTTTTCAGTGCCCTTTGCAGCACAAAAGTTTTTAATTTTGGTGATGTTCACTTTTTAATTTGTTTATGCTTTTGTTGTCATACCTAAGAAACCATTGTCTAACCCAAGGTTATGAAGTTTATACCTATGTTTTCTTCTGAGAGTTTTGTAGTTTTTGCTCTTATATTTAGGCCTCTGATCCATTTTGAGTTATTTTTTGTATGTGATATGAGGTAAGTGTCCAATTTCATTCTTTTTTGCGTGTGGCTACCCAGTTTTCCCACCACAGTTTTTTAAAATATTATTCTTTTCCCATTGAATTTTCTTGGATCCCTACTGCTTATCTTTTAACATATATAGTTTTTATCACCTCTAGTTAGGCAGTAAGATTTTTGAGGGCAGGGGGTTTCTCTTATATTTAGGTATACCCTCTGTACTTAACAGGTTGCCATACCCATAGTAGGTGTCTGATGGATATATTACTAATGTCTGTCTTTCCGACCAGATAGTAAGCTCTTAAAATGAGAGGACTTGCTTATTTTTGCTTACCGGTAGGCTGGGATCAGTAAGTACTTTTGGATGATTGAATTAATGATTTCCCAATGATGAGTTCGTGTCTTACTTTAGGATTTTTGTTCTCCCTTGCAGCAGGATGCATACTAGGTAAGAGTAATTTTCTTACAGTAAGTCACCAAGGGAAGAGGTGAACAAGGGGCAAACATGACTCCATGGGAAAATCCTAGCTTAGCTTTGATTTTGCCACCATATGATTCTACCATATTCATTTTATATTGCTTGGTCCTCTTTAGCTCAGAACACATAACGAGGTTTTGAATGAAAGGAAACCCCTTTAAGGTTTAGACTTAGAAAATTTTCCGATTTGTGTTTTAGGTTATGTACCAAGAATTTAAAACAAATCAAATCCAAGCTACCATTTCTGTGTATTGGGCTTTTCTCTTCTGAAAGTGTAATAAAAATGAATTCCCTGGTTTTTAACCAGTGCCAGTACTTCCTATTGGTGGACTTTGACAAGGCCTAATGTGTGAAAACACATTTTGAATAATGAGAACAGGAAATATGTTTCTTCCTTGCTCATGGTTTCTGCAGCTGTAAAAGTGATTTGCAAAAAAAAAAAAGAAAAAAAGGAAATACGCTAAGTATCCAATTATAGAGGAAGGGTGAATTTATTCTATATTGATTCAATGAAGTGCTAAGTTGCAACTAAAATTAATACTTAAGAAAATTATATACCAGTAAAGAAACATATTTATGATATAAATTTAAGTATAAAAAGATTACATTGTGCAGTAATTGCAACTAGGTAAAATTATGTACTGTTGTGAACTAAGGTGATCAACCATCCTGGTTTGCCTCGGGCTATCTGGTTTTTAGCACTAAAAGTCCTGTATCCCAGGAAATCTCTCAGTCCTGAGCAGAGTGGGGTGGTCCGTCACCCTACTATGAACAAATTGCCTAAGAGATAATTGGGGAGAAGGTCATAGCAAGGATTTTCATTCTTTTCTAAGAGTAGACATCAGCAGTGTCTTGTTATAAGGAGTTAATGTGAGGTCAGAAAAAACTAACTATTTGAGATCACAAAAATGAATAAAATAAACTAAAATTCTTAAGGAAACCATGAGTTTGGAGAAGGATGCTCATATATATTTCAGAAGTGGAGAAAATGAGATAGAAATAAGATCTTGTCTCTTTTGAAGGTTTTCTCACTGAATTTTGCCTTGAGTCTGCCATTGCCACAACCTCTTCCCTTTCCCCTAGTCCAAGGCAGGCACTGGTCCTAGTCTACCACCATATATTCCAGTCACATTCTGGACCGCAGACAGCAAGGAATGTGTTATTAATGACCTGTTCCAGGAAAATTTTCTACAGGAATATGTGTGTGTGGTAGGAGATGTTGACGTGAAGAGTCGATGTCTTGACATCTTACAAGTTCAGACCCAGATTGGGGTTATGTGAATATGAGCTTAAGGCTGCTGGAGCCTCCCATGGTCAGAATGTTACAAGAGTAAAGAAGGTTAGAGAACCACCATGTTGGAGCCATCTACTGCAGGCAAGAACACACATACAGTTTTATTCATTTAAAGCCATTTTCGAGGACATAGACTGAAATGTCCCACCTCCTTTTTTTTTTTTTTTTTTCCTAATCACAGGAAATATCTTCCATTGGCGGTCAAAGTGGAAATAGCACTGAGAGTGGAAATTACATTGTCTGTGTACCTACCAGAGTCTGGCAGCACTCGGCATGTAGCAAATGCTCAAATGTAGCTGATAGCTTATAGTGACGTCTTCCTAGTTTAACAATCTTTCTATGTAGGGTAGTAATGTCTCTGAGTATGAAAAAGAATCTAGAAATAGGGTAAATATTCCCTGAGATTTGGCATCATAAGTATAATATGTTATTTTCAAGCATGATCTTCTTTCTCAGAATGTCTATAGCACTTAGTGTCTGCATTCTGTAATCTGACAGCTAATTGTATATTAATGATTTTTCAAAGGTGGTGAATGTCTAAGTCTTTTTGTCCCCAAGGGGTAAAACCTGACTTCTGACTCTTTTGTGTGTTTCTCAACACCTGTTTCATGCTGCTCAGAGAGCAGGTGCTGATAAAACCTGTTGACTTGGCTCTAGTAGTTTATGTAGACATTGGATAGGCAATTTGGTTATTTCAAGCATTATAGCATTTGAATAAGAAGATCTAGGTATGAAACAGGCTCTCAAAATTACTTGCTGTGACCACTGACAAATTACCTTTACTTATTTATTTACTTATTTTCTCTTTGAACATTTGTAAAATAGGGATAGGGATTTTTTTCCCTTGATCATGGAAGCTCAATTCCAATTATTTGATAAAATACTTTGTGAACTGGAAAATATTACACAAATACAAGTATTGATTATCCTTTGTAATTTGGGTACTCCTCATGGCACTTTTTCTATCATTCTTTCTTCCTTTGCCTAAAGGCTAAAAGTAGGTAGACAGTGCAACCAAGAGCCTGGAAGAGGAGTTAGGGGAAGTTAAGACAGACGGAGATGTGTAAGTGGTGCTGTTTGTACAAAGACAGGGGTGAGGACTGGCCACTTAGAGCTGCCCCGGTGGGGTGTGGAAGCCACAGTGTCAGCCCCATATAAAGATAGACGGAATGAGATCTTCATTGTACCTCATTATTATTTTTTGCTTTCCTGAAAACAGTGGTGCAAAAGAGACTCCTCGAAAAATGTAGATGTGGAAGGAATTAAAGATAGCTTAGGGACGGCATGGAGCAGTCACTTACATTTTTCATCTGGTGCAGAGTCTCCCTACTGCAGAGGGAAAAAATGAAAAAACAAACGAACTACTACTGCTGTGACTACTACTACACCTTATCCAAGGAACAGGCCAGTGAGAAACCACATTCTGAAGCCCTTATTCAGCCTATTTTTTTTAACGTAAGAAAGCTGTCCTAA